CAAGGCTATTAATTGCCTACAACTTTTCCGATCTTTTTGCTACTCTGCTGCATGAATCCTGTGTTCCCTAACTGGATTTATTATCAATCCCTTCATGTACTTATACTAGTCTCTTAAAATCTGTCCCTTATTTTTTGGGATACTATCCATCATTCAAGATTCAGTTAAGATGCCACTGTTTCCGGGAAGTATTTCTTTCAAATCAAAACAGAAGTGATCGCAGCTTCTGTGATCACCCAGACTTCTGTGTGTTCTGCCTTTCTAACGCTTCACCCACCGTCTGCTACTTCTTTGCACAGTTATTTCCCATCAGATCATATATTCCTGAGTAGTAACCAAACTTCATTTTTTGTTTTACCCCCAACATTTATAATGGGGACAAGTGGCTCATAAATAGAACATGCTCGACAATTCATTATATAAGCTATTCACTTTATGCGATTACTACTGTGGCCTTTCCTAAAACTTCACATATATTGAGTAGATATTTGTGTAGTGAATAAATACCTCCACTGTATAGACACTTTCAAGTAATGACCATGGGTTCCTGGCATTAAATTAGAGTTCTATGGCTATAAATGTAGGTTTAGTCTACTTAAGACCTTCTCACAGATTACTTATAAAATTCTACTCCTGTAACATCTAGAATTCTATCACCAAATCAAATGTAAAAACACTCAAATTTCAGTTTATTCACAGCTACCTTCCTTGTCAAAAATACACTTTATTATTTAGGGGCCTTAAAAACGTCGGGAGGTACTCCCTACACCGATTTGCACTTGAGCGATCATGAACAAGGTCACACTGTATCTTACCTGTACAATTCCATTTACATGAAAACACATCACGAGCTCTGGTACGTTGCATATCAAGTTGTCCAACCAATAGTCAATTCCAGTTAGCACATTAATTGGTTTGTTGTTATCCCTAAAAATACACATTTCTAGTGTTATTTGGTTTAATTAAGATGTTCCAAAATGAATCACCTGAGACTTATTTCTCCATTTAACTATTCTAGCCTGCCCCCCCCTTGATGGAAAATGCCATCTCTGCTGGTTAGATATGCACAAGTAGCTCACCTGTTGTGTTCTAGTTAACATCTTTTCAAAAGCTTTGCTTGGATTTCTAAACTTAGGGTACCTGTAAGTTTTCAGTAAGAACAGAAAATACGGCATCAGGTGACTGTGAGCCTACTGCACGCTCCTCATACTGCCTGAGGTGAAGGACTGACCGCCAGGCAGGACAATGCCCCGGCCAGAGCTCACGCTGGCCAACGTGAACACACATGCTTGGAGCACTAGGAAAAATGCTCAGTGGGAAGCTGGGACAACGACCTCTGAACGAATTAAATAAACCCAAAGGCACTTTCACGAGTTGTAGATTCAGACCTGAGACCAGACCCGCGTGACAGGTCTCTGACTCCATCACCAAGGAGTACAATGAAACCCGAATGCCGGAGGCTCAGCGGTCACTGATGACAGCGCCTTCCTTAAGGGGCTATTTCACTTGGCGAGGGAAGGGGAGAAGTGAAAGAACCTAGAACAAGGTGATGATGCCCAAATAGGTAAGTGAAAGCAGATGGGACACTGCTTCCGAAGGATCAGGATTCTGGCTCACCTGAGACGTAAGCTGACTGCTGGATACCTGCCTCCTCCAAATATGGGCATGTTGGAGCCGACCAACATATGTATATCTTCAAATGTCCACAAAATATTCCGAACGAAATCATTTTTAAGACCCTTTGATTTAAAATGAAATAGGAAAGATTATCATAAAATAAACAAGAGACCCACAATTTACCCCCATGATCCACAGAAAGACTAGAAAAGAGAAAAGACAAAGGAGACAAAGTAAGATAAACTAACAGAGCTGTGAGATCACACAGATGTTCAGAAAGCGATTCTCAGGATCGAGCAGATTTCTTCCCTATGAATTCCAATTGAGATAGGTCTTTAAATAACGAAGTAGACTGGGGACCGGATGTCTCACCCTGGACATCCTGGAAAGCATACCTGACTGTTCTCCCCGTCATTGAATAAAGTAGTCAGGTTTTGTTCTTTGGGCGCTGAAGCCACATGCCCCACTATGTATGAGGGTTCAAGAGGCTCACTTCCCTGTGAAAAGTGCAAGGAGAAGGAGTGATTCTGCTGCCGGAATTTCTTAAAAATGGCCTACTGTTCAAGAGAATCACCTAAACATTCAAGGCAGACACTTCAATCTACTTTTGTGAACCAGGGCTAAGAAATATGTTAACTCTCATCCCTGGTAGCTTACTACAGCTCCTAACTATCACAGCTACTATAATAAGCTAATCACATTTAGATCTTACTGAGAAAAGATGTTAGCTTTTGATCAAAGTTTTCTATTTTTCTTTTTTTTAGGTGAAGCTGAATACCATTGCTCTTTTAACCTACCCCATCGCTAATGAATTAAAAAATTCCTAAGAAACTCCAGTCACATTTTTGAGACACCCGTCACAGTAACTGTCTTTAGTTTTGCATTTCCTAACGTGTTTCACTGAATACTGGTCCCTGGAATATCTGGTAGACAATTGCCAGAGTAAGCTTTGGAAAATGCTGCTTATTGTAGACTTGCTTTTGGAGAGCAACGATGCTTATTATCATAAAAACACTTCTAAGAAGGCTTGCAAAGGAGAAATCTATGTCGCCTCTATGCAACCCAATGTTCTCATAATCTAGAACACTTTCATTCTTAATACATTCTGCAGGATAGACTTTGGAAAAACACTTTTAGGAAGAGGAACCTTCAACAGCGGGTAAACTCAGTCCACCACTCGATTTTCCAACCATCAGGACAGCTGCCACTAAGAAACATTAGAGCTCAATGCCAGCGCCGCAACAGACCCGACACGGGCACGTGCTTGTGCGAGCACACTGCTTATTCCACGCACCCGCCTCACCGCTCGTCACCTCTCCCAAAAGGATCCTAACAGAACTTCAAACTTTTAAATTTTATTATTTGTTTATACAGACAAGTTATCAACTCCCAAAATTATATTTGCAGGTAGCTGCTTTAGTGAGAGCTGGGCTCTAGGTTACAATGTTTTCAATAAAGGTTTGGCCACACCGAAAACACCTATTTCACCTATTTAAACTCTATTATTGCTTAACACAGGTCTCCAACTGGTAGCATAGATTTGTGGAACAAGAATTCATGAGGTGACAGCTTGCCAACAAAAACAAATCTCTAAATGCTGAAATTTAGGTTGTACAATATGTTATACAAACATTCTGTAAGAGGGTATTTTTATGGCAGGCTAGCTCTGCTTAGAATATGCCATTGCTAAGACAATCTCACTGCTCAGAGGCCTTTCAAACGTGTGTGGACACATGGGTACAGTGGGTACCGCTGTAAGGACGGGCCTCTCAAGTCAGAAAGATCAGGGTTTGAACCCTAACTCAGGAGTCACCAACTGAGTGACCAAGGACAAATATCTACTCTATGAGCTTTGGTTGACTTATTCATAAAACGATACCATCAACACTTAATATATATGCAGTTCCAAAAATGAAGAAAATTTAGACGTACATACACACGGCATAAAGTTCACAGCATAAGAGGCATTAACTAGATGCCAGTTCACTTCCCCCACATGCAAGTAAGTCTACAGGCCCTTAAAAGCCTCCATGATCTTTCTTAGTGACCCCTACACAAGGTAAGGAAGGGATGGTACAGCTTGGGACAGGGGAAGCAGGTGGTACGAGACTAGTATTTCCACTCTGCGGTCTTTTTGTAATGTGTGGGTTTTGAAGTCAAGGAATATTAAATGAACCTCCTTTGGTGACGTTACATATAGGAAAGTGCATAAAACAAATAATACAATGTGATGACTACTTACAAAGCAAAGTACCCGTGTAACCATCACCTGAGTCATGACATGAGACCTTACTGGTACCCAGCGCCATGTCCCTCTTCAGTCACACAACATCCCCCCCTCCTGGTGGTTACCGCTATGTAATCTTGCATAGTAATTACTTCCTTCCTTTTCCTTATATTTTCCTAACTTGGAAAAAATTTAAATTCATTACATAGTTTAATGAGGTTTACCTATCTTAAAACCTACTAATACTAGAATCAAGTTAAATGCATTTGCCTCCTAGTAACTCTGTAATTTGTGAAGATAACAATTTAGATGAATAATGTTCAATATGTGAGAACACACAGCAATAGGAAAAACACTATTTACCAAATTAAAGATCTTATTTTTTATCTCCTTGGAGTCTGTCAATATATTTTCCTGAAAATAGACACGGACAATTTACATCTGTGAAATTATTTTTTTCTCTTTGATAGACACAAATAATGACAAAACCAAACAATCAGTAAGAAAAAACCAAGACTATAAGAGACAAAAGAGACATCTTCTATTCTCTCTCCCTTTCTTAACGCTTTATAACATTAATGCGGATTAAATCTCAGAAACTTCAGCCAGAAAAATCTTAAGAGCAATTTTAGGCCTAACAATCTGACTAACAGTTAAGGTAAGAAGATCAGGATTTGTTACAAATAGGTCTGTCAATCTCAATATTTGATAGGCATTTACTAAATACCTAAAGTTTAAAATATACTATATCGCTACATTATATAACTCTTATAACTTTAAAGAGATAAGCAGTATTGGTAAACATATTGGTGAGCTATTTTAAATAGTGGTAAATTTTTAAAAATATTTTGAATTATTTAAATTGAAAAACCTGATCTAGCCATTCGTAATATCTTATCAATTCTATCTTGAAAAAAAAAAAGGTTTTTTTTAACTGCTAGACATAAATCGGTAGAACACTTTTTTGCTCCTGTCCATCTATTTTAATTAACAAGATGGCTGGTTTTGCCCTCTGAAATGAGTTCACTGCGTTCCCATCTAAGCACTAACTAACCTGACTGGAAGCACTGGGATCTTCAGAAACGGAAGAAGGCATTTCGAAGGGGGCGGGCCACGAAGCCCCATCCGAATCATTTGTCTGACCTGAGCCGGATGGTTCCTGCTGTTCTGCAGCAGATGGAACGGGCTGAGCAGCTCCATCGCCATTGATACTGGCCAAATCAGAAATACAAAAGACCACGTTGTTACTAAAGTAACTTTATGTCATAGTTGACTTGTTTTTAAAAACTGGACTCTATAATCAAGCATAAATCTTATTTCAAAAAAAAAAAAAGAAATACAAGACACTGAAATGTTAACAATACCACAGTGGCAAGCCTTAAATTATTATTATTTCTGGCTTCAAATTAAAGTTTAGATCAGAACTTAATTTTTCCGCTTAAAATAAAAATAAACAAGTCACCAAGTACCTGTAATATAAAAACTTGGAAAGAATAGCCTTCTGATACCAATGCTCTTTGCTCTTTTTCTTCCTCTGCCACTTCTGATCAATAAGTCTTTGATAAAACTCTTTCAGCCACGTCCAATCACCAGTCTGAATAACATAAGAAATGGATAGATACAAAACAATGTTACCTATTACTCTTTAACAGGAATCACTATTTTTCGATCACTATTTTTCATAAACACGTACCAGAACCCTTGTGTTTCCTGACTCAATTCCTATTACCTCTTTAGGAAATGTCCCCGTCTTCCTCTTCTCCCTAAGCCAGCCTAGGGGAGGTGACCTTTCTCCGTGATATGTTCTTTAGTGCCTAAAATAAGCCCCACTATGCACATTGTTTAGAAATTACCCACACATGTGTTTATCACCCCAAAACTGTAAGCTGCTAGGGAGCAAGACTGTGTTTATTCACTGTCGCATGCTAGACCCTGCCCCGTGACTAATATATACATAAAAATCAAACTGAACTGTGGTCTTTCCAATGGGAAAAGCATTTACTTTAAATGTTAATTTAAATCACCCATACCTTATTGTCTTTTATCAAAGCATTGCAGGAATAGTAATTAAAGTGTAGCCTATGGGACCATGAACTATTTGCAAATAGTCCACAATAAGTAGAAATGGAGAGTAGGCCTTGAGACACTACAACATGATTATACTCTACAAAAGCATCATCAATGCATTGGGGAAAAATAGTCATTTATCAACACAGTTTGAGAAGCTCAGCTGTAAGAGAACCAATCAATTCTAATAACTATGTATATAACTTTTAACATTTAACAATTCTAATAATCAGGAATAACTTTTAACATATTTCACATTTCCTGGCAGCCTTGTTTCATGAGACTCTCTTTAATGGAGACATCAAAGTGTTTGTCAAAAATTCTAACTAGTTTCTTAAATTTCAGATTTTTCACAACTTTCTAAATTGGCTTCATCCTTTTCCTTGCAAGAATCCTGGCTGTTGGTACCAATAAGGTTCTTCCCCGTCCTCTCTCTATTTTGCCTTTATCACAGCTTTTTTATTTTCAGAAAAACTGATCATTTCTCGGGCGCTGAGGTATTCAACTATGTTCCCACTTTGGCCTTTCTGAGAAACAAACCCATATTTCTAGTGCCCCTAAGTTGTTAAAATAATGCTTTTCTCGTTGTTTTCCACAGAGAGCGTTACCTGAGATGACCTCATGAAGAGCTCCTGGATGTCCAGCTCGTCCAGCAAGAGGGTCCTCCCCACGCGGTGCACGGCCATGCTCACATGGGACTTGCTATAGGGGATCTTCAGGAGCTTTTTTATGTTCTTAAAAACATTAGGAAGAAAAACAGTTTAGAAAGACTTTTTGAATGTGATTCGGAATCTTTCAAATTTTAACTTCATTCAATTTTAAAACATAATAAATTTTACTTCCCTACAGTTATATAAACTGTACTTTACACAAAGAGCTAATACAAACACATGGAAGGCAGAGCTTTGAAAGCTAAATCATCTACACTTTACGAGTCATACTATGTTAGTGTAAATGACGGTCAAAGACTTAGTTTTACGAGACAGAATGTCCTAAAGTTAAGTGTGTGTACATCGCACTGTTGCACTGACCTAGGCTTTTAGCATATCCGATAAAATTAACCAACTAAGAAGCAACAGATTTTGCTAGAAGCATCATTTCTAATTCTTAACTGATAATATACTAAATTACCCCATTTGAATCACTTTAACTGCTATTTTTAAAACACAACCATCAATATTAGTATTATTATCACTGCCAGTTTTAGAGATTGCTTCTTCCTCTCTAAAGAAAGGAGATGTGGTAAAGAGTGTTACTTTAGTAACAAAAAAGGTATTTGATAATCAGACACTTGTACACTTGTATCTTACTTCATCAGTAGTTTTTCAAGGCTATGGAACAGAGCGTGTGATTTGCCCAGCACAAACATCCCATTCCACTCTCCCGTGAGGACACTTACTTCAGAGTCAGAGACAACATCCACATCGTTTCCCACGGAATCAATGAAGTCATATGCCATACCGAAGCTAACAGGGAACGAAGGCCACAAGGTCATGCTCAACAATGCAGGCAGAGTTTACTACAGAACACTGTATTTCACTGCTTCTAGGATATACATTTTCTACATTCTGACATCTCTGAACTCAGTATGCCTATCGCCATTGTAGTTGGCCAGTTTTTCCTTCTCAGTGGTATATAAAATAATGGTGTTAAAATCAATAGTATCTTAGACTTGATAAAATACAGTAATAATTACTAGAAGCAATTAATAGGAAATATCTAGAATAAAGACAATGAACAATTATTTTCATTTTTGTGATTAAAAAAACACAAAAATCTCCAAGAGAGAACAGTTCATTTTAGTGAAAGTTCATTTTAGTGGGAAGGTAAGAAAATAAATTACCAGGATTCTAGTCTCTGGGACTGTGTTCCTAGCAATATACAATACAACTCTTTTAAAACACATATGAAAAACGTGCACCTGACCCCAAAAGTCAGTCAGAATGAGAAAAATTGTGCCAGGTACCACGTGAGGCATATCTATAATCTACAAGCCTGGAAAGCAGCTGATGTCGCCATCTTTTTTTTTAGGTAATAATTAGCAGAGAGCCAGAATACTTATCTAGGACTGCCTCACTTCAAAGCAGGTGCTAACAATTTAACAAGTGGTCTAGACAAGTTATTTAACCTTTCTAAGCTTCAGTTTTTTGATGTGAAAATTAGTGAACAGTACATAACTCAAAAGGTGGTTTTGAGAATTAAATGACATAAACATACAAAGTACTCAGCACAATATGTGTACACTCAATATACTTATTTAAATCACCTCGTAACATTTGTGTTGACATGTAATTTATTAAGCCATTCTTCTGAAAGAAGATATATAGACTATTTCCAACTTTTTTCTAGTATAAATATTGCTACAAACAAATATTTTGCAAATATAACTTTTACCTTGAGGCATTAGGATAATTTCCAAACTACTAGCTCATAAGATATTAACGTATTTATGGTTCTAGCTATATATTATGTGAAAATATATTAATATCATAAGATATTAACGTATTTATGGTTCTAGCTATATATTATGTGCATGAAAATATTTTAGGTTCAATCACTGGAAAAAAGAGAACCCCACACAGTAAATGATCTAGAAGAAAATGGGTATTCACACGTTATTCTCTATAAGACCACAGGCCACTCTCTCAACTTTAAATAGCACCAGCAGAATTTCTAGCAATCGTCAAAGTCAGGGTATGTCATCCAACATGCTGGATTTCTACATCAGGTTTTTTCAGACCATATAATCCACTACCATTTAATGAAAACTGCACAGGACGAATTAGGCAGTGTTAAGAGTTTTTTTTCTTGTGTGTCACCCTGATTCTACCTATTCACATCTTCAAAAGGTAAGTAAATTTGCTAAAAATAAAGCAGTTGACTGAATTTTAGTGGTTAAAATTCAGTTTTGTTAATAACATGATGCAGACTTCAGAGAAGCATATGTAACTGATACCTTCATATTGTAATATAATATTATTAGCCGGGGGAAAATAGAACTTCGAAAATCAAATATGACCTTTTCCTAGAGAGCGAACGTATCAAGTTGACGCACATTACAAATAAAACTGAAAAGCAAGTATCAGAGTTCACTGTGGGTAGGGAGGTTTGAGGGACAAGTAAAAATACCATCAATTGATATCCACCTTGAAAATGGCTTGCTTTTCTTACTATTGCCAAGAATGGTAGTTCCTGCTGGCCCTAGTTTGGCACTCTCTCGTAACCAGTTGGCAGGTGGGAGTTTCAAGTCAGTTTTCTCTTCAAGGCGTGCAAACGCTGTTCGAGGAGGGGCAGAAGAATATTTCACCACAGCTGTGCTCTTCACTTCATTGCCTCCAAGAAATAAAGCTGATCCCTAATGAACACATTGAATGAAACTTTAATGACCACCACTAGGAATAAAAAACCCCATCTTTATAAAAAGAAAGAAACACTATATCAGGCTTCATAAGAATGCATGTTACTAACAGTACTTAATAAATGTGAACATAAACTGTCACATTTAGTTGTTCTTCACATAGTTTCAAAGGAAAACCATGAGTCGAGGAGTTATGGTTATCAGCTGGGTTATCTCATTGAAAGTAGAGAAGCAGAAACCAGGAAGAGTCGACAGTTGTCATGTTAACGTTAAAACACAAAATTTGATAAAACCTCTGTTCGGTATTAGACATTATTTTAACGTCAATAACATACATCTTTTAAAAAGTAGTTTGTGGTGAGATGCCTGGGGCTTTTTTTTTAAACAAACGTTTAGTAATTGATGAGTCAGTGCGTTACACAAATTCTCTGAAGCTCTAACTTCATAGCTGGGCACTGGGGGAGCCTCACAGACCTCGGTTAAGCAAGCTCGGTGTCTGAGTTCACGATTCTCCCCTTCCTACCCGCCGTCCCTGGCGAACACTTTGCACCCTTCAAGTATTAGCTCAGTCCCATCTCGGTGAGCTGACGCCCTCTCTCTTACACAACTGTTTCACATTTGGAACCACATATTTACACGTACGCTCTTTTGGAGCAGAGACTGTGTCTACCTTACCAGTCTTGCAAGAAAATACCTGAATACCTGGCGACAGGCACACAGACGTCCGCTTGTTTCGGGAGGCTGCCGGGAAGGCGTGCAGAAGGCTCCAAAAGCCGCCGGGAACCGTGACAACCCTCCCCTGCGGAACCGACCTGCAGCTCCGAAGCCTTGCAGGTCCCGCCCCGCGGCCGACTCACCTGTGCAGGTTCCTCGGACTCTCCCTGGGACAGGAGGCTAAGACTTCCTCGAGCAGCGGCCCCGGCCGGTGGAGCCTCGGCCCCGGCCTCCTTGGAGTCCCCCATCACCTCGGTCCAGGGGAGGCGGGGCGAATCAAGACCCGAGGAGCCGCGACAGGAACCCGGACCCAGAGACCCAGCCGCACAGAAAATAAAGCGCCACAGATGCCCCACGCACCGCACTTCCGGCCCCTGACAGGAAGAACGCGTGGTGGCGCGTTCAAATCTCGCGAGCTTTGTGCCAGAAGCCCGGCCACGCCTCCCCCGGTGGAAGCCACCTTCGCGGCGGGGTCGGAGCTGTAGTGCGCCTGCGCCTGTCAGAGCCGCTTCGGGAAACCACTTCTCGCGGTATCTGACTCCCAGGCTCCTCCCCTTGCAAGCTGCTCGTCTTTGTTGCCAAACAGTTCTCGGCACTTGGGATCAGGCGACAGTTGGTGTCGCCGAGGTGGGCGGTTAAATGTCACCAGCGGCTCCCGTTATATAAAGTAGTGAAGTCTTGGCACTCCGCTCCTTTGTAAACCAGTGGCTCCTCGGTTTACAGGCGGGCTCACAGCCCTAGGAAGGGAAGCCGTGCCCAGGTGAGGGGCAGTCCCGACTCGCGCCCGCGGCGACTGGGGCGTCCTGCCTTCGCATCACAATACTTGCGTGGTCCACGGTCCCGCGTGCAGGAGCAGCGGGGCTCCGTGGGGAAAGCTGCGCCGAGATGCGCGGATGAAGCCCTCCGCCTTCACTGAAAGGACGGGTTTCAGAGGCGATGACACTCCAGCAGGGTTGCTTCGTGACTCGGAGCACCTTCTGAGGGCCCGCTATATTTGTCAGGCTAAAGGGAACTGGCAAAGGGAATTCCGGGTGGTCCAGGGGCTTCTCGGGCGTTACTATGCCTAGAACACACCTGGTGATCTAGTTAACGGGCAGATTCTGATTCAATAGGTCTGGGATGAGCCTGAGATTCTTGCATTTCTAAGAGACTCCCAGGAGAGGGGATGCCAGTGCTTTGAGGAGCACGGACGTACAGGAATAGCCAGGGCCGGTTTAAAACTTGGAAGGTGCTCAGCTCCCTGATCTTCGGACTCTTTGCACTCAAGAGCGTATCAACCGTGCAGCCATATCCTTCATAAAAATTTGCTTTGTTTGGCGATAAAATATTGCAAATTCTTTGATAAATTGTCTTTCAGTCATTTGGCTATCTCAATTTGTGATTTACATTACGTTCTGATAACTCACTAGGTGGACAGTCAGAAATCCTTGTGAGTGAGCAAGCTCAACTTACAAATTATTTTCAAATGTCACAACATTTTAATTATATTGAACAAGACATTTGATATAATAGCACATTTTGTAGACACTTAAACATGCATTGATTTTGATATTTTGTTTGTATTTTGCAGTCAATTCTATTTTTTACAGGTAATACATTATAGTAAAAAATTGAACACATATCTAACAGGAGGATGGTTACGTCTGTGTTTGGTACATAATACCATTAACTTGTGTAATTATTAACTCGTTTTTCAAGATAATCGAGAACATTTAAATCGTACGTGATATGTTGAATGATACATTTTTATAAAGCAAATGTGCAATAGAGCCTAATTTTTAAAGCATGTCTATTGCTGTGTTTATGTCCATAAAAACATCTGAGTGGTAAGATGAAGTGAGTCAAACTCTATTCTTTAAAGTTTTATTTCCCTCCTTTTTCTTCCTGATTGTGCGATACAGGCACACCTCGTTTTATTGTGCTTCACTTTATTGTGCTTCACAGGCGTTGCGGTTTTTTTTACAAACTCAAGGCAAATCACTCCACCAGCAGAAAGATTACAACTCGCTTTGTGGTGGTCTAGAACCAAACCCGCGATATCTCCGAGGTATGCCCATATTCCATAATAAAATATGCTTAATCTTTTAAGCGTATAATTTAGCTTCTTCTAATCTTTAAAGTCTGTTGTTTTATTGTATAATTCTTTGTAAGAAGGCATTTCCTGAGCTAGCAGTCATTCTTTCTTCAGGACTCAAGTACTTTGCTGGCTTCTTGAGAAGTAAGTGCTGAACCTTGTTGATGATGCTTAGTGAGAACGTGTGCTGGAAACAGCCCGAGAAAAGGCAGAGAAGAATGAAACAGAAAGAGCCAGGAACTCAGCACAGAACAGGAGAGGTCAGGAGTGGGAGGATCCGGCCTCAGAAGGGGAGGTCATGTTGGGGGTACCTGGGACTCCCAGGAACTACTTGTGGAGGGAAACCTGAGGAGGGGCTGGCTTTCCTGGGGCCACTCACGGGGCAGGAGGAGAGATTTGGGTGGTAAGGCAGAGTGGTCGCTGAGGGCAGGAGAAACGGGTACATCTGAGTTACGTAAAGTTTATACATTCTTCTAGCTCTGCGTGCTTATTTTTTTATTTTCCCTATTCAAAACCTTTTATATGCTGAGTTTTTTTTTTTTTTTAAGTTATCATTGTTTCTAATGTATGTGATTGAAATATTATTTGGAAAAACAGGTCATTACTTCTAGAATTTCACATTTTAAGGTGCTTATTTATGCTCATTTTTATATTGTATCAGTGTATGCCTTTCCCCTCCTTCCTTGTCTCCCAGCCCGTCTCAGGATGTGCATCATCTTTGGCCTGTTCTGCCCTGTAGGTGCGGTTACCCTGGTTCTTGTCACCAATCAGTGCTCTCGCCTGTTTACCTGCCTCCCCAGTGCCTGATGCTCTCACCACTTGTGAGATGTTTTTGAGTAAAGAAACTGCTAATAGTTTCCTGCTTATAGTTTTCTGCTTATAGAACAAGTTGTTCCATAAGTCTAAGTTTGCTGGTGTTTTTTCTCTGCCTAGAACACCTTTCCCTTCCTCACCTGGCTTAATCCTCAAAAGGGATCGCAGGTACCATCTCTGATAGTCTCACCTGCCACCTTCCCCGCCTTACCCCATAGGGTCTCTTTCTTTGTTCCCAGAGCTTGTATGGCTTTATCCTGCACTTGTCACTTTATAGAAAACTATCTGTTTGTATCTGCCTCCCTTGCTGACCGTGAGCTTCTTAGGTTTCACGTGACCATCTCCGTTTTGCCAACACCAGCACAGCACACTGTTTTAGCGCTTAGGCAATGCAGGTAAAATGACTAGTGCCAACAGGCTTTTTAAAATGCTTATCGACCTGTTTGAGACATGAAAACAATGTTGGCTCCAAAGTATTATTTGAATCTGCAGAATCAAAGCTAAAAATGTCTAACGAAGTATCTCCAGAATATCACAATGGCAACGTCTTTACTTATTAAAGTTAGTATTACACAGTTCATTTCATTCTAAAACAATTTCTAGGTTAGATTTTCTCTGATTACAAACATCCTCCCAGCATGCATGATGATTTCAGAGAAATCCCAGTCAATTATAAATTCAGTTAGTTATAACACACAGTGTTTTTCAAAGCAAAATTGGAAATCTTTTCAGAAACTTTGACAGTAAAACAATTATATGGAAGGCAGGGCCCTCGGAGTTCCTCAGCAGCCTTGCGTGCAGAGGGGGACCATGCAGGGAACTCTTGGATTGTTGCTCGTGCCCTTCAGTTTGTCAGAGTCCCCTTCCATGACCTAGTTTCTCACACCTGCCCAGCCTCACTCGTTTGCTCTGCCTGCTGGACTTCAAACGCCCTGAGTTTCTGACTCCTGGGCCTGGGCCTTTAGAGCTGGATGTGAGATTTGAGATTACCTGAGTCAGTCCCATTCCTCTTTAGATGAGAGCAATGCAGTCCGGACAGGAGACTAGAACTGATTTATTGAACCTCATACAAAGCCAGTTACTAGCAAAGGCAAGACTAGGACACGGTTTTCGGGCAGTACCCCCGGGTAGCTTTCTAAAAAGCTAAATTGCAGACACAGGCCAGTGCAACTTCAACCTGTTTCAGAATCACTTGAGAAACTTAAGTGAGGAGATCCTCCAGCCACCCCAAGATTCTAAATCAGTATTTCTGGGGTAATGTCAAGGAGTAGACATTTTTAGTGAGACGCTAGTGTCTGACCATCTTTGTAGAACAAACCTTAGGACAATCTCCTGGGGTACAGGAAGAACTATACCTTCATTTTTTTTTTTTTTTTAATCTGAAAAGTAAGGACAAAGTAAGCCTAGCTAATACGAATGTACACATTGATACAGTGCCTTTCCTTTGGCCATGGTCAGCTGGTGTATTGGTCAGATGAGATTGGGTCATGTGGTCAGAACAAATAATCCTCAAAGGTCAGCGATTTACAACTAGGGTTGCCCAGGCAAACTACAGGACACTCAGTTACATTTGAATTTTAGATAAACCATGAAAAAAATTCAGGATAAAAGTATCCCAAATATTTAGTATAAGTATGTCCCATGCAACACTTGGGCATACATACCTTTACTAGTCCGTGTCATCTTTACTCCAGGGCCTAGGCGGACGAAGCAAGCTTGATCATTGCCAGTTGAAGTGGTGGATCAAGGAAGAGATTGGTGAACTGTAGATGCTAAAAGTTCTGATCAGAATTGACAGACATCACGGCCACACTTTTTTTTTTTTTTTTTGCTAAAACGTGACACATGGCCAAGCTTAGCTTAAGTTTGACAGGGAAGACTAATGTTTCCCCCAAGAGGGGCACTGGGTATCTGGGGACCATAATGGAATCTGCCACAGCATATGGTGGCTTGGATGGGCTATTGGATGCCATCCACACGGCCTTTCGGAGATCATTTTCAGAGTTTTGTAGTAAGATGAGCAGTGACCTTGAAAATCTCATGTACCACACAGAGATCACAGAACATCTTGTGACAAAACATTTTAAAGAGTTGTCAAGTCTACGGCCATGCCACCCTGAACAAGCCCGATCCTGTCTGATCTCAGAAGCTAAGCAGGGTCGGGCCTGGTTTATACTTGGATGGGAGACTACCTAGGAAGACCAGGTGCTGTAGGTGTAAAAAATAAAAAAATAAGGGATTGTAAGCTGACAAAGTCCTTGCAATCTGTGAGGTCAACCAAGGGTTGCCTTGCCTAAAAAAAAAATAAGAGTTGTCAAGCTTAAAAATTAGTTATTATTTTTTCTCTTACAAAAAGTGTCCACATTTTCTCATCTTTTCTGTGATAAGTAGTCATTATTAGGATGCTACTTAGAGAGTTTCACAAAAATAAAGACTTTATTCCTTTAAGATAAAGATGCTGTTTTAATAGCGAGTGGGAAAATCATTAGTTTTCAAAAAGAATCTTACCCTATGGAGAGAGCATTTTTGAAAATAGATATTTGGAAATCTTTCCAACGTTATATAATTTTGTGGCTAAAAATGATGTGTATCGCTCATTTAAAAAAGTCATATCTGTACGCTTTACTTAAAAACTGAAATTTCTAAACCCCTTTAAAAGTATTCCAAATGGAGAGTTTGCATTTTAAATATACTGGGGAGTTCTAAGGAGGTCAGTGGTGCAGATCTAGCTTATCTAAGGCGGGAGTGCTAATGGCACAGAGACGCAGACGTCACAGGTCACACCCCGACTGAAGCCACATGCTCCTCTCAGCCACACTTTCAGGGCTTTGCAAAAGCCCTCTACCCACATCTTAATTGTTCTCTTTGATCCGCTTGTTGGCCTATTCAGAATGCCCAGACTGATCTCTTTGTCAGCCGCCAACTGATTTGTTTACCCCAAAAAAGTGTCTGCAAGATTCGCAGTTCCCAGGCTGCCAGCAGGGTTTTTCCTCTCTCCTCTCTCTTATACATCCTGTTTTTAATTTTGTTCTGTGACAACGGTCTGTTGATCTTTCTTCTTCATGTACAAGTAAACAAATTGCATGCAAAGCGACTAGCTAAATATCTAAATTATTCCTTGACACCACTTTATTGGTTTATAAGAAAGACTGATGGACTTCAAAGAAGATGGAAATTTAACTCAACAAATTTCAGTTAAAACTTTTGCATAATTTGTAGATACAATTGAAATGAGCATGGTGAACTCTAGTGGCCATATGAGTCTTATTAATTTACTTATTTTTGAAAATGTTTTAAGCAATGACAGCCATTAAAACCAAGTTTTAAAATAAACTGAACTTAAATGGACATGTCAAATTATTATATCACAAAGTTTTCAAACAAGAGTCTCAAAAATAAAAGAAACTTATTCAACCACTTTACTCTCTTTTTAAAAGATTAGCAAGAACAAAAGTAGTTCGCAGTCAAAATAAAAATATAAATATCGATTGCTTTAGACTTAAAATTTTTCTACCTTTGTACTTTTATGTTAATATATTATTGCTAGTAGATCATTTATAAATAAATCAATATGCACATATTGGGGCTACATGTTCAGAAATTTTTTTACCTAATGTATGTGATAAAAAAAAGTTTACGGACCGCTCCTTTTAGAAAGACTATTTTAGACACACTGTGGTACCAAAAACCAAATGCTAGCTACGGCTTAAGTCAAGAACAATTATCATGTTAATGATCTATATTTTCCTTTACACTTTGACAAGAGTAGAAAAATTTTCGAGTATAAGAATGCAGACCTCGATGTGTGGTGTAATAGCAAGACGCTTGTTACAACCACATGATGCCTTATTTAATTAGTAGGCGATAATTAATTGCTGTTCTGTAGACTAACATTCAAGCAAAGTATATGAAACTATTTGGAAATGATTTTGGCGCCATTTGAAGGAGTTTTTTCTTGATACTCGATGAGCGCAAATTCTTTTGGAAGCTATTAGTGTTGACTTTCAGAGCACAATGCTAGTGATTGACGGGGCAGGTCATCTGTGCTAAGGATTACTTTCACAGCAGAGCATTCTTAGGGTTTTTGCGAGTTTTAGCCTCCAGAGCTGATCATTACCCTATGTGAATCCTAGGAACAGTCACAAATGTCTGCTATTCAGGCACCTCGTTGGTGGCTGGAGCCCAAGCATTATTTATGCTGTGCAGGCACCTTAGGCTCAGACTGACAAGACAGGATTTCTCAAATGAACCTTCAAGTCAGTGCCACAGTCAGACACTGCTTGTGGCTTCCCTCTGCCTTCTAGTTAAGGGCTTGGCCTTTGTAGACCCTAATGAATCATTCAGCATTTAGGCATTTACGAGGAGTCTTCCACTGGAGAGAACAAAAGGAACGCGTCACTTAGTGCAGAAGCGTCAAGCATCACAGCTACTGCCTGGACCTCTTTACTAAACGTTTCTGTAACATCTGTCTTCCTCGTGGGCATTGAAGGGCTATATTTTACTTTCTCCATGTAATGCAGTCACAAGGCTCCCAGTCATGGAATCCATGCATGCGAGCGTTGGGCAGAATGCTAACTACTAGGTGAACCATGGGTATTATTCACATATGACAAATTTTCACATTTATTTACATTTTTCTCTCTAAGAAATGGAGCCAGAATCCACAGTTGTCACTATCCATCTGCACACTTCTGTTTACTCTCCAGAAGGC